ACACTAGAATTTACATGGTTTGAAGAAAATCCTCCTACGTCCACGGGAAGAGCACACATTCCAGAGAGAGATTTTTCATTAAAATTGTAGAAGAAGAAGTAGAAGATACAAGACAACCACTCCTTTTATAATTGACTTTGTGGTTACTAATAGCCACTTTCAATAACTAACTTTATGATTACCATGCACTAATAGTCACATTTTGTAACTAACTTTATTTTTGAGTCAATTCCAACATTCTCCACATTGACTCAAAAAAAAAAAAATTCATCAACTCTCTTCTTCACCCTGCTCCATTTCTCTATCTAGAATACCCCCTCATGGGGCCTTCACAACTTAGCACTATTGTATGTTTGAAAGATTTAGGCAATTCCTGAACCTCTCCCTTGGCAATGGCTCGGTCATCATGTCTGCTATGTTCATTTGGGAAGAAATCTTTTCCAACTGAATGTCACCATCTACTACAAAATCTTTGAGCCTGTGATACCGCACATCTATATGCTTAGTCTTTGAGTGGTATACTGGATCCTTTGCAAGACATATAGCACTCTGACTATCATAGTGAAAACAAATGTTCTTTTGATCAATTCCAAGCTCTTGAACCAATCCTCTCAACCATATAGCTTTCTTGGCTACCTCTACTGCTGCCATGTACTCTGCTTCTATAGTAGACAAAACCATCATATCTTGTGATGTAAATCTCCAACTAATAGGACATTGACCAAGAATGAAAATATATCCCTTAGTAGACTTTCTTTTGTCATGGTCACCCGTAAAATTTGAATTTACATACCCAACCACTTTGTTTCCTTTCAAACCATTATGAAATAGTAAATCTGTATCTTGGGTACCATTCAAGTAGCGCAAAATCCACTTTACAACATTCCAATGCTCCTTCCCCGGATTAGCCATAAATCTGCTCACAACACTAACTGCTTGAGATAAGTCCGGTCTGGTGCATACCATAGCATACATAAGACATCCAACTACACTGGCATATGGTATATGTATTATCTCCTCACGTTCTTCCTTTGTCTTTGGACAATGTTGAAGAGATAGTTTGAAGTGTTGAACTAGAGGTGTGCTCACTACCTTAGCCTCCATATTGAATTTGGTCAATACCTTCTCAATATACCCTTTTTGGGTCAATCACAACTTCCCATTGTGCCTATCTCTTTGAATTTCCATTCCCAAGAATTTCTTTGCTCCACCTAAATCTTTCATCTCAAATTTCATGCTCAATTCCTGCTTTAACTTAGCATTCTCATGCAAAATCTTACAAGCAATAAGCATGCCATCGACATAAAGCATCAATAGTATAATGGAGTCATCATGAAGGAAACAAAAATAAACACAATTATCGTACTTACTTCTGATGTAGCCATGTGAAGTCATAAAAGTGTTAAAGCGCTTGTACCATTGCCTCGGTGCTTGCTTAAGGCCATAGAGTGACCTATTCAACTTGCATACCAGTTGTTCTTTGCCATTCTCGACAAACCCATTGGGCTGCACCATGTAAATTTCCTCTTCTAAGCTCCCGTAGAAGAAAGCTATCTTCACATCAAGCTTCTCCAACTTCATATCCCACATATCTACCATCACCAACATGATTCTAATGGAACAATGTTTCACTACTAGAGAAAAAATCTCATTGAAATCCACTCCTTCCTTTTGTGCATATCCTTTCGCTACTAACCTTGCCTTGTATCTAACTGGTTCACTTGTAGACGAAGCCTCTTTCTTTCTGTACACCCAATAGCCTTTTTACCCTTAGGCAATTCTACTAACTTCCAAGTTTCATTATTCTAAAGAGAAGCCATCTCCTCTTTCATAGCACCCATCCATAGTGAGCTATCATTATCTTTCATTGCCTCCTTGTAGGTCATTGGATCATCACAATTAGCTGTTAATGCATATGCACCTGTATCATCAAATCTGATTGGTCTCTTGATGTTCCTTTTAGCCCTGACTGCAACAATGGAATATGGTGATTCCTCTTGGGATTGTGCAACTTCTTTGCTTTGATGAAAAGAATCTATAGTGACTGGTTCACTACCCATTTTCTCTTCCTCACTTAACTCCACCTGAATTGAGGTACTGCTCTTCTCACCATCTCGAATTTGCTGTTGATTTTTCTTCAACATAAAAACTTCATCAAATACAACATCTCTGCTTATCTCAACCTTCTTTGTGTTAGGATTCAAAAGTTTGAATCCTTTCACCCCTTCATTGTATCCCAGAAAAATGCAAGGTTTTGACTTAGCATCAAGCTTTGTCCTCTCTCTATTCTACAACAAGACATAACAAGGGCATCTAAAAGTTCTCAAATTTGAGTAATCAAAAGAATTACCAGTTCATACCTATTCTACTGTCTTGAGTCCCAATGCTTTGGAAGGTGATCTGTTTGCCACATAACAGGTCATATTAATTGCCTTGGCCCAAAACTGCTTTGGTAAATCTGTCATGTTCATTCTTTCTGCTACCCCATTCTGCTGTGGTGTGCCTAGAGTAATAAGATGTCGAGTAATCCCTTTTGCTGCACAAAATTTTTGAAACTCTATAGAGGTAAACTCTCCACCATTATCTGTCCATGTATTTTATCTACTTTTTAGTTTGCTTCTCCACTTTTGCCTTCCAAATCTTGAACTTCTCACACAGATTTATGCTTTATGAAGTACACCCAAACCTTTCTGGAATAATCATCAACAAAGCTAACAAAATATCGTGTGCTCCACCACTAGAAGTCACTGGCGATGAAGCCCATGTATTTGCATGTACATACTCAAGAATCTCCTTGCTTCTTTTAGTAGATGCTGTAAAACTGACTCTGCATTGCTTTCAAAAAATGCAAAATTTGCAGAAATCTAATTTGCAAGATTTAACACCATCAAGTAATTTCCTTTTGTGCAGTTCTATCATACATCTCTCGCTAATGTGTTCCAATCTCAAATGTAATAACTGACTAGAATCATCATCTAAAGTGGATGTGACAGTTGCATCCTCAATGATAGTTTTTCCAATTAACCTATATAATGACCATTTTTTTCTCTCCTTTTATGACAACCATGGCACCCCTTTTAACTTTTATGACTCTATCAGCCCTACTATATATACACCCAAGATCATCTAAAGCACCAAGTGAGACTAAACTTTTCCTAAGATTTGGGACATGTCTAACATTCGTTAATGTTCTAACAATCCCATCAAACATCTTGATTTTAATTGTCCAAATCCCAATAGTTTTACACTCGGCATTATTTCCCATAAGAACTGTACCGCCAACATGTGACTCATATGTAAAAAACCAATCTCTATAAAGGATACATATGATAAGAACATCCAGAATCAAGTATCCAAGTATCTAAGGGATCCATACCTGAGAGACCGTAAGAATATCTCCATCATTCTCTATATCGGAAGCAACACTTGCCTCGTTTGCAACTTTTCCTTTCTTCTTTTGAGCCTCTGCAAATTTCTTGCAATCCTTTAGCCAGTAATCATCTTTCTTGCACCACTTGCATTGTGTTTTCTTCAATTTGGATTTTGATCTGCCTTTATTCTTCTTATCTCCCTTTTCTTTAAATCTGCCTCGTTCATAACCCGAATCCTTTGCAGTCAAACTTTCATTATCACTAAAGGTAAGGCTTTCACCGCATCTCGTTTGACAGTAAAGTACTTCTGACCTCATCCATCACCAACGTATCCTTTCCATACAACATGGTCGTCACCAAATGGTCATACGATTCTGGGAGAGAGGAGAGGAGAAGAATCACCTTATCTTCTTCATCAATCTTCACGTCTACATTGAAAAGCTGCACAATCAACCGATTGAATGTATTCAAATGATCCAATAAATTGGTTCCATCGGCTATATGCAAATTATATAATTGCCTCTTCAGGTACAACTTATCGTTGAGAGATTTTGTCATATACAATTTCTCCAACTTTGTCCATAAGCCAATGGTGGTTTCCTCATCGAGTACGTTGTACATCACTTTATCTGCCAAGTATAACTGAATCATGCTCAATGCCCTCAAATCTAACTCAGCCCACTCATCACTTGTCATCTTTTCTGCCTTCTCCTTTTCAAGAAGAGCCTTGTGAAGACCTTGTTGTACTAGAATTGTCTTCACCCTCTTTTTCCACAACCCAAAGTTCATATTTCCGTTAAATTTCTCCACCTCAAACTTTATAGTCGACATCTTCGCCATCACAAGTACTTCATAGATTTAATAACCTTGCTTTGATACCATTTGTTGGTGTAGAAACGTTGTATCACATATCCTAAATCAACCCGTGAAGAAAAATGGAGAATACACAAATTGGCAAAGCAAACAAAAATTCAAGCAAATAGAGATGGAGACACAAGAATTTACGTGGTTCGGAGAAAATTCTCCTACGTCCACGGGAAGAGCACACACTCCAGAGAGAGATTTTTCATTAAAATTGTAGAAGAAGAAGAAGAAGAAGTAGAAGATACAAGATACCACTCCTTTTATAACTGACTTTGTGGTTACTAATAGCCACTTTATGTAACTAATTTTATGGTTACCATGCACTAATAGCCACTTTCTATAACTAACTTTATTTTTGAGTCAATTCCAACATGTAATTCAAATCTCATGGATGAGATCTAATTTAAATTTGAATATAAACAAGTCAAATTTGATCTACTTATATCCACCCAATTCAATCTATTTTCAGAGTTCAAATTGACGCCCCACATGCACATCTCAACATGCATTGGAAACATCTCTTGTAGAGGTGACTGTGAGATGATTTCAGTATGCATTGGGAACATCTCCCGTAGAGGTGATTGTGAGATGTTCCCAATACACGGTTGAGATGTGTTTTGATGCAAATTCCCATTTTCAAGTATAATTTGGTCCCCTGAGTCCCTGACCAGACCAATCATTTTGCTCCAAGTCAGGCATAATTGAGACTTTGAGAGATAGAGTGATTGTGGGTCATATGTACTTTTATTGCTGACGTGAAGCAAACTCCACAGCCAATATAGCAGGTATGATATTCAGCTAATTGGAAGAGTCATTTGCTCCACAGCCAATACAGCGGCGGTGGGTTTTAGTAGGGGTTTGAGCCTTTTTGGGGGACAGCGAGCAAATCATCTCTGTATCTCTCTGGAAATAGAGCAGAGAAAGCTACATTACTACAACATTGCTCATGGGACATATACTCGTAAGTATCTGCTCGTCTTAAATTCCTATTCCTTGTGTTATGTTTCTTTTCCTCTTGCACTTCCACATTGGCTTTATTTTCATCAAATTTCGTCTTCATCAGCAAATTCAATTCATTAATATCATTATTTTCATTTTCTTTAAAATCTCCACAATCGATTCTCTCTGCTTCACAGAGGCATCTCTTACGTTCCAATCGGAACTCTGTCCTTCGGATATTGACCTTGGCTGCTACAGGAACTGGTATTCTATGTTCAAGCAACCGCGACTCGGATACTGGTAAGCGTTCGTTTGAAACAAAGAAAGCTTGAAGTCGGTTTGTTTCAAATTCTCATCTAAAACTAAGAAAAAACTTTATCATGACTTATTTTCTGTATTGCTGTAATGGGTGAATCCAGAAACAGCGATATCAGTGTCAGTCACCCCGCAATTGCGGGAATTGTTGCCACCGGCTTGGCGGATTCCACAGGAAATTCATTCTCCGTCTATACCGCCATCAGACACTTCCAGATCAGGTTCTGTTCGAAGTTTAATTTTTACATCTGGATTTGTTGAAATCTGTTGTGTGCTGTTTTTTTATCGGTATTGCTTTTCTCATTTCTTTCCCTTAATATTCATTATTCTAGGGCTTCTTCCGTTGATTTTTTCTAGAATTGGTTCACTACCATCTGCAAATTTCAGTAATGAAGCTCCTGTAGAAGATGGAAATGGCTCCAAATGCTGTCCTGGATGCTTGGGTAGAGACTCCATTGCAACAGCGGCTGCTAAGGTCGGTCCTGCTGTTGTCAACTTATCTGTTACCCAAGGTGTGTCAAAAAAAAAAAAAAAAAGAAAAATTCTAAAAGTTGCTTCTCAAGATTTATCATCAAGGACTTTATTGAAATAGTTGTTTATTTTGTTTTGCAGGTTTTCATGGGATGACTTTAGGGAAGAGTATTGGTTCAGGAACTATTATAGACCCTGATGGCACAATTTTGACCTGTGCTCATGTTGTTGTAGACTTCCAAAGCATGAGAACTGTATCTAAGGGAAAGGTTGGTGTACGGGGTTTTTAGACTGCTTTTTGTGTTAATTCCTTGATGGCCCTTCTTCGTGAAAGATCTGACAAATATGCACACTACCCTTCCATGGTCATTGTACAATTCTTTATTCCCTTATTCTTTTCAACAATGAACTTTTATCATCCTCTTTCTTGAATAACTCTGCACAATAGTTTTGTTCTTTTGATCTGTAGTGGAAAATTTTCAATTATTTTTTTTCTTTGATAAATAACATACTTCAAAAATTATATTAATGATAGAAGAACACAACTATACAAGTGACCTTTCAATCTATGCTTTAATTTTTGAATTTTACAATGTTCTTCCTGGCCCTGTATCACGCCAATGTAATTTTTCCCTCAACACACCTGACCTTGCTAATGAGTAAACCATGTTAGCTGCTGATCTTGGCACCCACCTGAACGGGAAGAAAAGTTTTCATTAAGAATGACTGGACAAGAATAATAAATACATAAGTGTCCTCTACAAAAGGACCATAAAGGCAGTCTGAAGAACAGAGAAACCAGCAGGGGAAAATAAAATATGATCCCTGTACCCAGTGTGATGGCTGAGCCCCATTACAACTTTGATGATTTGATCTATACATTATTTTTCTACCCAGTGGTGATGTTCAGCTTGCTGCCAATCATTTAGCATCATAAATATGATGATGTAATACCCACAACCTGTCTCCTCATTCTGTCACCAAGCTAATCACCATCTCACAGTTGCCTTACCTCCATATGAGAGAAACCAAGATAGCTATGAAGATTGAAGAGAAACCAATTCACCCTGCTGCCAAACATCTAGAGTCTTGAATGCGATGGTGTATAGCCACAAGCTGCATCCTCCCTCTTGGATCCTAGTCATCACCTAAGAGTTCCTTAGACGAGGAAAAACCAAGACACTACATAGCTAAAATCCTTACTCTAAGGCTCTGGGGGCAAAAGGGCTAATGATTACAAGAATAAGCTCTCCCTCCTAGTGTTTGAAAGCATCTACCTCATCAAAGTTACCTGTTTCCTAAGAGAGCAGCCATTGGAGTTTAGCTGACTGCATCTTGGAGGTGAAGGATCCCACTCTAGGCTGTATCTGTCTCCTCCTCAACAAACTGACAATTTAATCCCAATTGCTAGTAATGTCGTCCATCAAGGAATCCACAGTAACTGATTCATCAAAAAAAAAAAGAATCCACAGTAACTGTAGTAATATTTTTCAAGGCCTCGCCTGTCTCCTTTTATTGGAGAAAATTCTCCTATTTATTTCTCTGATACCATCCCAAGAATTGCCACTCTAAGCATCTCGCATCTCCAAGTAACCCTTCCTGTTGACTTGGGAAAAGAAAGAGATGCTTGAAAGAGGTTTGGAACCTCTATATTACATCAACTTCTATTGTCATTTTATTGGTAATTTCACCTTAATCATATAAGAAATTAAGAATGAACTTGCAATGCTGTACGTGTGATCTTTTCTTCTCATTCAAAGATATATTTGGATATTTGGAGATTTTACATCTTACAAGAATACTCCAGAACAAAAATTTATATTATATAAGTCCATTTTTGGTTTGAAAATTAAAAAAATTTCAGGTGGATGTGACCTTACAAGATGGCCGAACTTTTGAGGGTACTGTGGTAAATGCTGATTTTCATTCTGATATTGCTGTTGTAAAGATCAAATCTAGAACTCCACTGCCAACAGCAAAACTTGGATCATCATGCAAGCTTCGTCCAGGGGACTGGGTCATAGCCATGGGATGTCCACTATCCCTTCAAAATACAATAACAGCTGGTATTGTTAGGTAAAAGCTCCAAACAATATATATATATATATTATATCTTTTATCTTCTTCCAGAAAATAAATATTATTGTGACATATGGATTCCTTTTCAAGAGAAAGGCAAGCTTGTATCTATGGCTGGTAATGCTCTAGTATTTTTTTGGTGTGTAAAATATCTCCTTGCCTTTTTTCTCATTTTCCCTTTTGATTATTTCTTTATTTTGGAAGAGAATTAGATTAGGATGTGATTACAGAATTCCGTTTATGCGCTAATGGTTAACCCCCACCTCTTTATTCAATTTAGTTGCGTTGATCGTAAAAGCAGCGATTTAGGTCTTGGTGGAATGCGGAGAGAGTACCTACAGACAGATTGTGCAATCAATGAGGTAATACTTATTTCCTTTATGTATTCAAACTCAAAGATCCCCAAACATGGATACGGACATGAATATCACTCTTGGTTTCTCAAATCTAAGACACAATACACATGACTCATGCCATGCTTTTGCTTTAGTTTGTAAGGTTTCTTTCTTATTTCTTAATCATGCCCAAGTATTTTTGAAGATTCTAATATAGATTTGCTAATTTATGCCATTTACCTGTTCTTTTTTTTTTCTTTTTGACAAAAGAAATCAGTAAATAGATCTTAGCAGTTCAGAGTAACATCCAGTACAACTCCAAGAGAGAGGCTCACATGCTAGAAGTCTCCATGAATGTCCCATTTTGGCTTGTTACTGCATTGGGTTACTAAAGTTATGCTAAGAATGTTCAGATATCCAGGTATTATAGTTTAAATTTGATGAAAACAATGTGTACAAAAATGTTAAGTTTAGCTTACATGAGCAAATGTGATGAATGACTAGCAATACTTGTAAAATCATGATCGAAAGAGATGCCTTCAGGAACCTGCTGCAGCACCAGTAAATGATAAAATAATGAAGAAAATGTTTGATGGTTCTGGGATCTTGTGAAATAGACCCTTTACTAGAATTACGAGGACAGGACAAAGACCTGGGTGTGGGTTGACCCGTGAAAACTCTATAGACAAAAGAAAACCAAGATCCAGGTGTAGGAGAGAGATTTAAAACATATTTCTAATAGAATATGCACCTGTGTTCCTTCCTGAGAGAGACGAGAGAGAGAAGAGAAGAAAGAGGAGAAGAGAACGTAGAGGAGAAGAGAAGAGAGAGTCGATTGAGACTCAAAAACTCTAGGCTGGTCATTCCCAGCTTCTTATTTATATTCACTTAATGTAATAAGAACTGAAGTTACAAGAATGCCCCTGGAAGTTCCTAATAACAAACAACTAACAAGGAAAAAAAAGAAGCTAGCTGTTAGCACCTAGATAGACTAGGCTGACAACATACTAACAGCATACTAACACAGAACCAAACAACATACTAACACAAAACCAATAAATAAGATTCACAACACTCCCCCTCAAGTTGGGCTGTATATGTCTATCATGCCCAACTTGTCACATAACTCATTGTGCTGCGAGTATGGAAGTCCTTTTGTGAGGACATCAGCAAGTTGTTCCTTGGAGTTGACATAAGGGATGCAAATTTCCTTTTTTTCCAATTTTTCCCTTATGAAGTGTTTGTTCACTTCAATGTGCTTGGTCCTCTCATGTAGGACAGGATTGTTGGCGATATTAATGGCTGCCTTGTTGTCACAACAAAGAGACATAGGATTGTGAACAGCAACTCCAACCTCCCCTAGAAGAGTTCTAAGCCAAAGAACTTCAGCCACCCCATGTGCCATAGCCCTATACTCCGCTTCAGCACTTGACCTTGCTACCACACTTTGTTTCTTGCTTTTCCAGGTCACTAGGTTTCCTCCCACAAATGTGCAATACCCACTTGTGGACTTTCTGTCATCCACTGCACCTACCCAATTAACATCTGTAAAGACTTCCACCTTTAGATGCTTACTGAATAGTAGACCTATTCCTAGATATTTTTTTAAAGTATCTAAGAACTCTCTCTGCTGCCTCCAAGTGAGGTTTCTTAGGAGAGTGCATGAATTGGCTCAGGACCTCAACTGAATAGGCAATGTTTGGACGAGTCATGGACAAATAAATCAACTTCCTCACTAACCTCTGGAACTGTTTTACATCTTTCAGAGGTTCACCATCACAGTTACCCAATTTATGATCAACATCCATAGGAGTATCTGCTGGCCTTGCACCTAACTTGCCTGTGTCTTGTAACAGATCAAGAGTGTACTTCCTTTGAGAAATGAAGATACCCTTTTTTGAGCGGGCAACTTCAATTCCAAGAAAATACTTTAGAGGGCCTAGATCTTTCACTTCAAATTTAGATGCAAGGAATTGTTTCAATTGTTGTATTTCTGAACTCCAATTTCCTGTAATGATTATATCATCCATATACACTATCAAAACAGCAACATGTTCCTGACATCTCTTCACAAAGAGTGTGTGATCAGATTGACATTACTTGAACCTTACTTGCTGAACCGCCATATGAAACTTACTGAACCAAGCCCTGAGAGATTGTTTCAATCCATAGAGAGACTTTCTTAGTTTACACACTTTCTTTTCACTTCCCTTGGCACAGAATCCCGAGGGTTGAACCATGTATACCACCATGTATACCTCCTCCTCTAGGTCAGCATTTAAAAAGGCATTCTTAATGTCTAGTTGATGCAATTCCCAGTCAAGATTAGCAGCTAATGATAGAAGAACTCGAATTGAGTTCATCTTAGCTACTGGAGCAAATGTCTCATCGTAGTCAACTCCGTACACTTGAGTGTACCCCWTGGCTACCAATCTTGCTTTATACCTTTCAACTGTCCCATCTACCTTGTGTTTAAATGTAAACACCCACTTACACCCCACTGGGTCTTTCCCCCTTGGAAGATCTACCAATTCCCAAGTTTGATTTTTATGGAGGGCATTAATCTCCTCCTTCATAGCATCTGTCCATTCAGGGTATTTTAAGGCTTCTACAACATTTTTGGGTACATGGATGCAATCAACTACAGATAGGAAGGCTCGGTATGAGGGGGAAATGTGATCATAGGAGACATACTGGGTGATGGGATGTTTGGTAGTGCATGACTTGACTCCCTTTCTTTGAGCAATAGGAATGTCAAGGTCATCCACAGTAGGAGCAGGTGTGTCAATAGGTGTAGCAGGGTTTAGATTTACCTCATGGGAGTCTGACAGTGTCAGATGCTCAGTGGTTGGTAGCTCCACATCTCTATCACATTGGTGATCTCTATGGCATGTACATTGGAAGACACGAAAGGGGGCTAGGTCCGGAATAGAAGGAAAAGAGACTTGGCGGTCCTGAACGATTTAGACTCAAAGAATGACACATCCATAGAGACAAAGAATTTATGACTAATGGGATCAAAGCACCGATACCCCTTTTGAGAGGAGGGATACCCCAGAAAGATACAAGGAATGGCCCGAGGCGGAGACAAATCATGGACAAAGGCATGGCAACCAAAGACTCTCGTGGGAATGGAAAATAAAGGGGACTGAGGGAACAACAACTGATGAGGGGCCATGTAGTTCAGCACTCTGGAGGGCATGCAATTGATGACATAAGCAACTGCAAGTATAGCATCCATCCAAAACCTCTTTGGAACATTCATGTGTAACATCATCCCTCGAGCTACCTTAAGAAGGTGTTTGTTTTTTCTTTTGGCAACACCATTTTGTTGTGGTGTTCTTGTGCACGAGCTCCTATGAATGGATCCATGGGAGGCAAAGAACTCATTCAGCTCACCATGGAAATATTCCTTAGCATTATCTGATTGGAAGATCTATATTTCGACATGGAACTGCATAAACACCATCCTCTAGAAGTCTTTCACAATCTTTGGAACTTCATCTCTACTACGCATCGGGAATACTCATGTATATCGGGAGAAATCATCGATCAAAGTGATAATGTACTTATACCCGCCCTTAGAGGTTATAGTGGTAGGCCCCTATACATCAGAATACACAATATGAAAAGGAAAATTGGATCTTTTATTACTTGAATGAAAAGTTGTTCTACATTGTTTGCTCAACTGACATGTTTGACACTGAACATGACTTGAATAAAAACGGAAACAAAGACTTCACTATTTCAAAGGAAACATGACCTAATTGACTATGCCACAAAAAAATTTGACTCTTATTCGACTGACTACATGACTCCGAGGACGACACCAAGAGACCAGCTTTGTTGTCGAGAATATAGAGACCATCCATTAGGCTTCCTCTACCAATCGTCCTCCCAGAAGTTAGATCTTGAAAAACACATGAACCAGGAAAAAAAGTTACACTACAGTTTAAAGAGTTTGTGATACTACTGATTGAAAGAAAATTTATAGGAAGTTGGGGAACATGCAACACACTATTTAGGTTAAGGCCATGGGGAAGGGATATTGACCCTTGGCCTGCAATGGAGGAGAATGATCCATCTGCAAGCCTCACTTTATCCCTTTCTGACAAAAGGCTATAAGTTTGAAACAAATTTGGCTTACCAGTCATGTGGTTAGAGCCCCCTGAGTCAATGATCCAAGGGGAATCAGTGGTAGTAGTGACATGGAATGCAGAAGCCGCATTACCTGATGTAGATGCAACTGAAGTAGGAGTACTAGTGATTGAACTATCCATCTGTCGCAAAGCCCTACTATATGACTCCAAGTGATCTCTGAAAGAATTCATGATATCTTCCTTGGGGTCAGAATTAGTAAAGTGGTCTCGGGTAGTACCAGCAACTTGAGTATCTTGGGTTGCCACATGTGCTGCATTATGTGTTGTATTCATCTTCTTCTGACCTTGCACTTTACCCTGTTCTTGGTTCTTCACTGCCCACTTGGGCTTCTCGTGAATTTCCCAACATGTGTTACGTGTACGTCACAAGTGCCGACAGTGGGTATAAGACAACATGTGAAAATTACTTATTGCAGCCAATGCTACCTATTGCTCCCCCTCAGTTGTAACCATCACACTCTGCCTACTTTCTTCAAATTGAACAAGGGCATATACCTCTTGAACCGATGGCAACTCTTTGCTTCCTAAGATCTGAACTCTCAAGGGTTCATAGGAAGGGTTTAGTCCCAACAAGAAGGCAAACACACGCTGCTGAGAAACCAGCTTCCTGTAGGCCTTAGCATCATCATCATGTTTCCACTCTATAGCCTGATAGTAATCCAATTCTTTCCATACGGAAGTAAGGGCTGAATAATAGGCAGACAAACTACGATTTCCCTATTTACAGGTTGAGGATTCTGCTTGCAACTGGTAAATCTTGGCATAATGCCTTTGCTCAGAATAGGTAGTTTTGGCCTGTTCCCAAATCTCACTCGCGGTGTCTACTCACATAAAGTTCTTCTTCACATTGGGTTCCATGGCTGCAAGGAGCCAAGACATCACCATACTGTTTTCTTGGTCCCACCTATTATGTTCAGCTGTCTCACACTTGGGTTCTTTCACTATGCCATTTATGTAACCAGCTTTTCCCCTTGCTGTTACATAAAGTTTCACACTTTTAGCCCACTCCAGGTAGTTCAGGCCATTTAAAGGGGTAATTGGCATTGGGAAATATCATGTTTTCACTCCCCATACCAACTGTACTACGAGTTGGTGTAACTCCAGATGATGTTGAATCATAGTTTGCCATTGGAAAAAAAGGGTCACAAATATACCAGAGCAGATTCCACACAAACAGAATGCTAAACTCCCAAGAATTTTCACTTCCGGAAGGAGAAAGATACTGCTGAAATCAGTTCAGCAATAGTTCAGCCCTTAGAATAGCCCAGAAATTAGTCCAGCAACTAGTTTACTAACAGGCTACTGAAGACAGTCTACTAACAGCAAGAGTTCAGCCACAAGCAGTCATTAAAAAAAGAAACTACTAACAGTTCGACCACAGCACATGAGTAAAAAAAAAAAACATACCCCTGTCCAGCGCCTGTACGAAGGTGTAAACCTCAAAACCAAGGCCTTCTCAGCCCTTCACAGCATAGACCACAGAGAAAAAAGGGGACACATACCCCTGTTTAGCACCTGTAAGAAGGTGCAAACCCAGAAAAATATTTTCACTGCATCGAACTAAGAGAGGAGAGACATTCCAGCATCGCCCTCCTTCTGTTAGGGTTTCCTTGGTGTTACGACCAAGGAGGAACCCAAAAGCAACAGCCGCAGGAATTCCGAACAGTCCGATAGAATTCTTGGTCTTCCACGTCCAAGAGATCAAGAGAACAAAAAAAAAAGCTCAGATTCAGATGAGAAAAAACAATTTTCGAGCCCAGAATTATTGCTCTGATACCATGTGTTCCTTCCTGAGAGAGACGAGAGAGAGAAGAGAAGAAAGAGGAGAAGAGAAGAGGGAGTCGATTGAGACTCAAAAACTCTAGGCTGGTCGTTCCTAGCTTCTTATTTATATTCACTTAATGTAATAAGAACTGAAGTTACAAGAATGCCCCTGGCAGTTCCTAATAACAAACAACTAACAAGGAAAAAAAAGAAGCTAGCTGTCAGCACCTAGATAGACTAGGCTGACAACATACTAACAGCATACTAACACAGAACCAAACAACATACTAACACAGAACCAATAAATAAGATTCACAACAGCACCTTTTAGATGAAACGGGTAACATAACAGTATTAAGGAAGCTAGTCCTAGTTAGTATTAGGATAATTCTCTTGAGATGATGTTTATTGGATACTGAAACTTGGTATGCTTGTTGGTGTATGTTTGTTTCTGTACCTTGCATATACATGTAATATTTAATTTCTGTGATATTAAGAACATCCAGACATATTATTGTGGATTGTCTTTATCATTGATGTATACTTGCACAAGGGCAAGGAGATTTCTTTATTGTCTCCTATTTATATTTGTTTCTGTGCTTTAATTGCATCAGGGAAACTCTGGGGGGCCTCTTGTCAATCTTGATGGAGAAGTTGTTGGAGTTAATACTATGAAGATATTGGCTGCTGATGGTTTGAGTTTTGCTGTACCAATTGACTCTGTATCCAAAATTGTAGAGCATTTCAAGAAAAATGGGTATGCGACTTCTTGGTGTTCTCTTTTGATATACACTGAAATTTGAGTTGTCTGTTGCATATGTCATCTAACACCATCATGCAAAATGTTACATCAACAAGAATAAATTTCTAGGCATATACTAGTTTCAACTATTTCCAAGCTTTTCTCTCAAAAAGAATTGAAGTCAAATCATGAGATAGACATTTTGGATTTTCTTTTTAAATGTTTGGTTGAAAATTTTTGAATTTTATTTTGTTGTTTTATGGGCCATCGAGATCTACAAGATCACATCAATCATTACTTCTAACTTTCTAACCATTAGGTATTTCTGAAACGACTCTGGATCTGCTGACCCCAACACATTGCTGGCCATGTTCACCCAGCCACACATATGGAACACCGGTTGTGTTGTAGTCACTGATATACTCAATGCGCAGCTGGATGAGCTTGATCAACAATGTGTTGTGGTCAGCAGATCCAAACTCTTCTGGAACATGTAATGTTTATGTGTGTGCACACATATTAAGCTTCTAGTAAGCAGTGTGACTGTCCTCATCGTCCTCAGCAACTCCTAGTCGAGAGTTTTACTTTTCTTCTCTTAAAAAAAGAGAAGAGTTTTAGTTTTCTTTTTGTTGGTCAGAAATAAATAGCTTTCATAATTGATTCATAGGCTAGATGTGGCTGTCCCATTTCTGAAGTCAACATACATTTGATGTATTTGAAAACATCTTTGGAATTCTACTTCAAATTACTAATGTTAAGAGCTTTTGTGGTGCAGGAGAGTTGTTCGGCCTTGGCTAGGCCTTAAAATGCTCGATCTTAATGAGATGATAATAGCACAGTTGAAAGAAAGAGATGTCACATTCCCAGATGTCAGCAAAGGTGTGCTTGTACCTATGGTATGTAGTATTAGTTTCCTTATTTTTCTTTGTTTTTCTTTTTCCTTCTCTCCATTTTCCTTGTTTAGTGTTTTTTTTGTGTGTGTGTGAATTTGAGGCATTTTTAACTTGCAAGTGTATTGCTATAGTAACCAAAATAATAACTTAAAGATGCATTGCTATAGGAACCAAAATAATAACTTAATGATGTTCTCTCTACAGTACTGAATGCATCAGTTGATTTTAAAATCTGCGCTCTTGTTGTCTTGTGGCCACTGATATGTTTATTGATGCATTTTAAAAATAGGAAATATGTTATATTTTGGGGTAATTGCAGCACCAAAGAGGAAACTAAGAGAGAAAAATTAAGATAACATGGAACTGAAATATTTCAAGGGGGAAGAAAGATCCAATGTTTTGTTGGTGGATCAGATTGCATTTCTTTTTATCAGCAACAGATTGAAGATATTTTACTAAGAAGGCATGCAAAAGCCAGCAGAGAAGGAACAACAAAGTGATGTGCATTGACCACATGCAATTTTTGATACTTGTAAACAAAAAATTCAAATCAACCTTGGCCTGTTGCCTCGCAAAACTGATCTTCCCTATAGATACTTTCATGAACAATCAAGTAGTGAGTTTGCAGATTTTGGGAATCTGTCTTGCATTTTCCCTCTTAAATCTGCTGCTTTTCTCTGTTCAAAATTAACTTAGATGCATTGTCTAATAAAACTAGTGGATCAATATATTTAAAGTTTGCTTTATTATTTTAATCTTCCTAATTGGCTTCTCTTAGTCCATTCATGTTCTTATTTTACACACACACACACTTAATCTTGAGTATTAAATACATATTTTTCATATTTATGTATTTAATAAAGTAACAAAAAAGGTGATAAAATTAAAAACAATGCCATTTGTTTTATTTAGCATGTTATTTGTGTGCATAAAAATGCTACATACATTGTGAATTTTGGAAAATTGCATCTTAAGTCCCTTAACTTTGCAAGTTAGCTAACAGTTTATGATTTTTCTGACCTTCCAACCAGGTAACTCCAGGATCCCCTGCTGATCGTGCTGGATTCCACCCAGGTGATGTTGTCATTGAATTTGATGGCAAACCTGTTGGAAGCATCAAGGAGGTATATGACCAATTTTGTTTTACATTTTGAGCAAGTATAACCCAATAAAACTGGAATATTCTTTCTGTGCATAAACTAATTCATAAAGAGAGATTAGTGTGGTATTAGGTAAAGATTATATCCGGTTTTGTTATGATAAAAGTTTTCTCTTTTATTATCTCTGTTTCTTTAGTAAAACATATTGTTAGGTAAAGAATGAGAGGATGGTCCACATGACATGGTAATGCCATTACTCGTGATATCCACAGTTAGGTGTCATTCCTAAAGTCTGCATGATCTTATGATCCTGAAAAATGATGTATTGTATTGTTTTGGATAGCGAGAATAATTACAGCAATGGTGTTCTGCAAGGGAAAACTTGATATATCTGGTGGTTGAAGTAATCTAATCAGGCTAAGTTTGGTACTTGCCAATATTTTATTGCATTGTTCTAAACCCAATATGGATTCCAATATCTCATTATGCTGGCCATACTTCTTTCTTGAATTTATGTATGTATACTTTTTCAAATATATAAACATTCACACTCTTGCTGTCTAAAACCAAAACCATTAACAGCTTTAGGATCCCTAATTCATTTTTTTTTTATAAGTTTTAGGATACCTAATTCATTAATCTTGAACTTGTGGCAGATCATAGAAGTATTGGGAGACAAGGTTGGGAAGCCCTTGAAGGTGGTTGTGAAAAGAGCAAACAATAAATTTGTGACTCTAACTGTAGTGCCAGAGGAAGCGAACCCAGATATGTAACAAAATTTTCTCTTATCATACTGCTGTTACATATCAAACATTTTTTTGGGTAAGTATATTAAACATTAATCAAAAGGATCTCTCCCTTATCCACTGAATTGAAATATGGGAAAGAAATTGAAGTTGGTTTTTTTGAGATTTTTCCTTAAAACAAATAAATAATTAACGAGTGAGCAAGGCTCATCGATGTGTATACATGTACCATTTTGACCTTATGTATCTCAAGTATTGAGTTTGGAATGACATTGTAGACTTGATGCTGACATGTAGCTGTTGCTTTGTAGCTGTCAAAGAGATGTAAAGCCTCCCTAACTTCTGTATGCTGACTGCTTGTTCACCCTGGAAAAAATAATAGATGTTTTCTTCCCTTTTTTGTCGGTACTAATTTTCCTTTCTTTTTATTTGGGGGCTCCGGGGGGGGGGGGGGGGGGGGGGGGGGAGGTTGTAGTCAAAGTACAAGATATCAACATGATATGCATGATACATGGCATATCATATCGATTTCCAACAGCCCGACACGTGGCACTGGTGCCATACCATTCCATTCTTGTCCCATATTGACTGTATTTCACATTTGCACTATATCGAGGCTTTATAAGTCAATATGGACCTATTATGATCTGATGATTGGTTTGTCTCTTAGCTTTGTCTTTTCTCAACCTTTATGTAATTTCTAGCTTTGCTTTCTTTCTCTTAGAAGCTTGTGGGAGAGCCTCTACTTACAAATAAGAAAATCCATTGAAATTAAGGAGGAGAGGTAAGTTTTTGCTTTTCTTTTCTAGTTAATTCTTCATTGTTCAATAGAACTACATGTTTTGGTGTTTGAAATGCAAAAATTTGCCAAATTTGTTAGATCTGTGATGTTTTAGTCTTGTATTTGTAGATTTATAGATTTTCTACCAAAGAAATTGGGAAGATCTTAAAATTATAGAAGCAATTTATTTTATGTTTTAAATGATTTTCATGGTAGGAAAGAACTACAATATGGATCTAGCAAACCAACTGATCTTTCTTAATTTTGATAATTTACAGAAATAAAAAAAATATCAAATGGAATAATTATATTACTATATAGTGACTTCTAATTAAAAATTCTGAATTGTATATTATATGTATTTTAAAATACTAATGTACTGATATTATTTAAGGTAAGATAATTTATTTCTATAGATTATTAATTATTAATTTAATTTACAATAGATGAATAAGTAAGAACATGTTGATTATTTAGAAGAATAAAAAATATTTTTACAAAATTGACTTAATATACATTAATAATTTTCAAGAAGTTAAACCCATTAACTTAATTTTTTTGGTAGATTGCAAAATTAAAAATAATAAAATATAGAAACATTTATTTTTAATAGTTAATCAAAATTTATATATTTTATTCTTTCTAATTTTAAACTACTAAAAAAACTAAGGTAATGGGTAAAAATTACTAATGTCTATAAAGTCAATTTTGTAAATAGTATATATTTTTTCGTAAATAATCGCTATGTTGTTAATTACTTATTTTTTCTAAGTTAAATTATTAATTAATAATTCATATAAATAAATTATGTTGGTTTAAAAATATAATAGGTGCATTAGAATTTCTAATCTGCATATGATATGTAATTCAAAATTTTTAATTAGTGGTCACTAAGTGCTAATATAATTATTTTATTCTTTTATTACTTACATAAATTGTTGTTGGATCAAAGGTTTTGATAGATCCATCTTATAGTTTTTTCCTATCATGAAAATCATTTAAAGCATATAAAATAAATTGTTTTTCTAATTTTTAGATTTTCCCAATTGTTTTGGGGGAAAATCCATAGATCTATTAGTACGAGCCTAATAGTAAAACATCACAGACCCAACAACAAATCAATACTTCTGCATTCCAAATGTAGATCCATTGACCATTGAAGGATTACATGAAGACAAAAGGCAAAAACCTGCCTTCCCCTCTCCTCCTCGATTTCAATGGATTTTCATGTTTTTCATGCAAGATCTCAGGTGTTTTTGTAGGTAGAGGCTTTTCCATAGTTTTCATGATAGATGAAAGTTGGAAGTGACAAGAAGGTTGGGAGAAGACAAAACAAGGAAAAAAGTTCATTCTACCAAAGAAATTGTTGTCATAGATATCAATTGTATCAATCCTTACGATATACAACTTCAATGTAGTGTGATACGATTGACTTGGGAGGACACGAGTGGAATGGTCTAGCATTAAGTCTATTCCACTTATACTACATATTAAGCTACTTGGAAATCGATATGATATGTATCATGTATATCATATTGATACCTGGGACTCATTGTATGATATCTGTATTCACCCAGTATCTTTAGATGAGGTTTTGATTCTTGATATTGTTTATTGTAATGCAATTTTCATATTAAGTCATAAATTATTAAAGCATGCATTTATGTATTTGTACCTTATTTTTGGTTGTTTCAACCTTGGATTTAGTGTTATTATGTATCCATTAAATTTTGTGAGAGTTTCCTTAAGTTGTTGAAGTGTATTTATATCTTTTCACTGTATCCAAAATGTGTTGCAATATGTACCCATTTCAATAAATTTGAACCTGGGATGTGTTTATTGCAATTCAATAAATTTCATCATAGTTCATTAAGGGTGTATTTGGTACTATTGTGTTGTGTTGCTGTTGCATTTTCGATTTATCAATGCAAATTTGTGAGAAATATGTGTTGCTATATCATATATGATTGTCGTTTCAATTACAAAATCCTTTCTACCAAACATTAGGTGGAAAATAGCAATTTGTATTGATCAATTCAAGATGTTTTTAAAACATTTCAGGTAGAAAAATCTTTCTATACAAATTTATATCCATCAACCCAAAACGCAATGGCAACAAAACATCATTGTACGGTTTGTACCAAATACCCCCTAAAATAGAAGCTTGGCTAATGTTGTACTTCATTTGTTGGGGTTGGTTACAAGTTTGGGGTTTATAGGACAATTCAGCCATGATATAGGGCTTAAATGTTTTGTTGAAGTTAATCTTACCAGCTTCCACCGAGTATTGCAAATGACGCGAAAGTTCTTAACAAAATCTATGAAATTTCTTTAAGAAAATATGTAACAATTGCTCAAAGGCTTTTTACACATTGGTCAAATATGTAACAATTGGTATTAAAGCCTTCCGTCTCAGGTTTAAATCATGGACATCCATCCTAGAAGTGATGCCAAAGGTTTGATTTTTAACAAGTACTAGCTTATCGTTCCTTTAATAAATATATTTTTCCATTTTGAAACAGCCAGTGGGCAATTCATTGCATTTAATACAGACCTAATAAACCAAGGGCCTGTTTGGCAAGTTTTTCTGGAAAGATCTTCTGGTAGTTCTGACAGTCAAAAGACGCATTGAGTTTTTGCATGAAGATCTGAACAGTCCAGAGTACGTTTGGCAGATGCACATTTTTCCATGTCTTTCTGTGCGAGAATAAAACACGAAAGGCGCGAAAATCTTCATTTGGAGTTTCCCAAAATCAGCCCAAAATGGACTTTTTGCGTCTTTTTGGTGTTCTGGCTTTTGACAGCTTGATCTTTTGCGAACCAAATGGAAATGAACTGAAAATCAGTCTGCCTGGCTTGTGCAGAAAGACGCGCCAAATGGGCCCAAGACATTGGTCTTGACTCTAAAGAGAGTACATCCGTATTTAGCAATAGAATATGAGACTTTGTTACTTGTACGTGGGGTTGAGACTAGAGCTTGATGAAGAGTGTTTCACCCATTAGCAATTACAACCCTTGCCCCCTTTCGGCAAGTTCCTTCTTAAGTCAAGTATGCTACCGCCAAGTACTAGAATCAAATCTCCTCTTTTGGACCCACCAAAAGGAAGCCGTAGTGCTTAAGTATTTGAGAGTTAATAACTGCGCCCACAGCCAGGGCTGTCAGTTGGACTGGATTTGATCCAATCCGATCCAGTCCAATGTAAGTTCATTATAAATGGACCAGGTCCTATCCATTCCGATGAATATTTTGGACCATTTTAGACTGGTCCAATTCAATGTCTGGACTGTTCAATCTGTTTAAATTCGTTTTGATTTTGATTGGTTTCAACTCAAACCCAATCCATTGACACCTATATTTTTTATATATTAATGGACCAGATAATGGCTTAATCCAATCCAATCCAATATAAATTTATTACGAACAGACCAGGTCCAATCTAATCTAATAAATATTTTGGACCGGACTGATCCAATCCTATATGTCTTATTGTCCGTCCAATCCATCCAAATTGATTTTGGACTGGACGGGGTCCAATCCAAAACCGGTCCACTGACATCCTTACCCATAGCTTACCTTTCTCGGTCAAAAAACGCCAAGTGAGTTTCACTGTTTCTTGAACCAGTGTCTAATGAAGCCAAGACCCCCAACATCTTTCCTATTCATGAAGAAATTCTAGCCTTTGAGATAAATGTGAGGGCTCTGTGGCATCATGAAACCCCACCAAAAATCACGGCTTATAGCGCTGATTTGGGAGCAAATGCCTCGGGGTGGTACCACCACTTGAGATGCCATGAAGTAATTAGAAATTGTGGAGAGAGCAAATTTAATGAGGATCTCTCTTCCATCATGTGATAAGAAGTTGGACTTGGCACTTCTCAACAATTTGAGATAGAGTTGCCCGTATTCAATAGGGGAGCGCTAAGGTAGTGTTCCTTCCCCATCATAATGTTGGCCCCAAGAGGGTGGGAAAATTCCCTTCTAGTTCTCCTATGAACATTCTGAGTGAGAAAAGAAAATCAAAGACTGAAGACTTGGTGAGATTTTTTTGTTGGCCTGACTAGCTCCAAAAATCTATATATATACTAGCAGGGATGATGCACGGAAAAAATCTGAAAGATTTAATAATTTTATTTTTCATTTAATATTGATTTATACAAAATAATAATTGTTAATTGAATATGAATAAATATTTTTTAATAAATTTAGTTTTATTAATAATTTGTAGTAATTTTAATAATTATTATTCTTTTTATTATTTTTAAATAAAATTTTGATTACTTTTAAAATAAATAAAAACAATTATAAAAGTTAACACTTTTATTAATTCCACTAATAATTGACAATTATATAGAAATGACAATGGGGTGGATTCAGGGCAGGGCACCCCATCCCCACCCCGTCCCCAATGTCATGCAAGTTCAGGGCAAGGTAACCATTCCTCAATGTCGAGCGAGTTCAGGGGCAAGGCACCCCACTCCTCATCAAGGATGGAGAATCCTCGAATTTCC